TTCACCCTTCCTCTAGCAGCCTTGTCAGGGCAATCATTTCCTATCACATTTTCTACTGGTGAGTCCAGTTAATTCTTTCACCTTTTAGCTGTAGAGACATCTAAATAATACTCCATCTATTGTCTGCTTAGTTGGTGCTCTCAGCTGATGGCAAGTTATCTTCAAACTGATGAATAAGCAATTGTTTGTTATTGGCCTGGTGGGGAAATAGCTGTGTTTGCTCTGTTGACCCCCATATTTCTGTGTGTGGCTCAAGTAGTGTCCCTCTCATCCCGCCTCCCACAACAAAGGCACTCCCCTTGCCTTCTGTTCACAACAAATACATCTCCAGTGCATTTGTAATGCAGAGTAGGCAAGGTTTTGCAGTTGCCTGACATTGAACAGCTTCCTCTGCTTTCTTTGTGATTCCCCCCAAATGAGTAATTTTCTCACCAGCCATAGCTAATAGCTGTTCTGATACTGTTTAATTCTGTATACCACAAAGCAGCTGGTTTTGAATTGTTCAGATAGGCCTCTAGTTTAATAGACACAAAAATTGATTAGATAAGCCATTAGGCTCAAAGGTCTATATCATCTAAGGCGTTATTTACTTCTTTAAAGCCTTCCATAATCAATCCACAATTTCCAGCCAGGAAGACACACCTAAATGTAAAGCTGGAGAAGGTGCCAGTCCATTTTTACCTGTTCACAATGAGCATCACCAGCACTGAGGAAGGAACTGTTGGCTGGGAGGTGCCCAAGTGTAATAAAAGAACTTAGATGTTGCTAGGTGAAGCCAATTTGTATTTGTTTTTATTTTGTGGAATAGCATATGACAACTTTTCACTGAGTCTGAGGTCAGTCAGATTTCCAGGCATAGAATAATGCACACAAGCATGTCTCTAACCTGCAAATCATTAGCACAACACATTTTTCAGCCCTTGCACTGTGCTTTGCCTTGGTGCCTAGGAGAGCTCTTGTTTTTCACTCATGCCAAAGTTCAAAGCCTCCAGTGCAACAGCAACCTGCAAATTGTCTGGGAGTCAATCCAAAGATGCTCTCTGCTCAGTGACCCTGTGGCTGCACACCTTTGCCTTCTCACATCCTTGGGAGCCTGTCTTCCCCATTTAATCACAATGCTTTTACTGCAAGACAAAGAGACGTCCAGCAGCTGCTCATCAAGAATCCAAATGTATGGGCAGAAACTGAGTGACCTCAGTCCGAAAAAAGACAAATTTTTCATCTTCTCACACAAAAATAATATGAAGCCGGAAATATTTGCTCTGAAAGACAGATTCCTCATTAGTTTTCTTCCTATTTTTTTTGCAGGACCACAGGGTGCTTGTAGTGAGAGAGAGACACCAGAGAGGCTCCTGTAAATGCTCAGAGGGGAACTGAAAAAAGAACAGAGGGACTTTTTCCTAGAAGTGACCGCAGAAATAGCCTCATGAGCTATTTGACTAAGAAAATGAAGGAACTTGAGGGACTTGAGAAATCTTATCAGCGAAGATATTAAGAAAAAAGGGCTTCAAAACCAGACTGTTAAAGCAGTTATGGAGAAACAGGCCAAAAAAGCTGGTAATTTTGACAAAGAGGCAGCATCAGTACAACAGTTCTCAGACTGTATTCCACCCCCTGCCATAACTTCCCACTTCCATTCTGTAGCTTATGGGAGAGCCTATGTTTGGGGTAGGCAAGTCCACAAACCAGAGCAACACACAGAATTAGCTCTACTTGATATGGTCTCCTAAAAAGACACAACCCACAGCAGAAGAGAGTGGTCTTCTGACAGCCAGAATTATTGGAAGCCTTTACGAGGATTTTTTCTGTTCTACTATTTTCACCCATGCACTTGAATTCTCAGTGCTTTTTATAAAATTTTGCCTTGCCCCGAAGTGACAGAATTTATAAATTTTGTTCAGGATTGCCCTGCACCTTTTTGTTACCTGAACAAAACAGTGCAAAAAGAAGCAACTGATCTGATCTTGTTCAATATTGTGCAGGACACAACAATGGCACATGCAGACAATACTGTCTGCCCTTTGCAGCAGGCATCTTGCAAAGGTGTGCACCTCGATTATCTTCTGCCTTACAGCAGTGTAGATTCTTAAAACAAGACAGCTCAGATCGCTCAGAATAAGGGCAGCACAGGCATCCTAATAAAGTCTGCAATATTCTACAGAGTTCTGAAGTGCCAGCTGCTCCATTTTCAGACACAGGATTCTGAATTCCCTGGCCAGCTCTGCATGTGGAATGAGTGGCACGGGTTCCTCTGGGCACAGCCTGGAAGCTGTCCTGCCTGCTCACCAGCTCTGCCTGCATCTCTGCATCTCTGCTCATGCTGGGCAGCCAGACAGCTTGGGCTGGCCAGTCCCATCTCCACTGGGAATGCCCATAGCCAGCTTCAGAGGCATTGGTAGAACAAAAGGAAGCACCACTGGGTTTATGGACAGGATCTGTCACAGATCACTGACCCAGGTGGAGAAAATGAGCAAATGGTTTCTTAAACAAGTGGCTATAAATAAGTAAACATGAAAGTTGGTAGTATGTGATATTTCACCTTAGGAGACAAAAATCCTGCTCTCCCCATGCTGAAACACACCTAGAGATTCCTTAAACTATAGATGGTAAATTCTTAATAGGAGAACCTCACTCAGTTTAACCAACTCACAGTGATTTGTGCTAGGTTGTCCATTTCAAATGAACCGATCACTGAGGTAAAAATCCTGGGTTTATATACAGACCTGCACAAGCACCCTCCACAAATGATACAGAACACATCCTCCAGAAGATTTGTGTTATAAATACATTACATTTGCAATTAGCAAACAACAATAAAAACTCATATGTGTTAAAAGGATAACGCCATTGAAAGGCAACAAAATTAAATAGTACATAATTAAATTGTGAAATGTATAATTTTTGCTCCCCAGCCACCAACCCTGCTGGCAAGGGCCGCTCCTGACAGGAGCTCAGGCTAATGGAGGCACAAGTTCAGCAGGTTCACCTTATCTGTACCACACAGCACCTGGCCAGTAATTGCACACACTGTGAGCAGCTGCCCTCCAGTCACAGGTATGGGAGCCTCCTAGCACTGTCCTTGCTCTCTTGGGTCACTTCCCATCAAGAAAAGCCTGACCTGACTGTGAGAAAGGGAGCAGGCAGTGAATACTGGCAGAGGTACCACTGCAAATGAGATTGACTTTAGTAGAAAGATTTTTTTCCTGTGTGGTTCTCAGAAAATTACTCTGGAAATGCTGGAGGCTGAATGTTTGTGAGGTGAACTCATTACTCCCAGGGCTGAGGAAAGCTTCCTGAAGGTAATGAGCTGCAATGCCTGGTATGAAGTAGGTGTGCACACAAATTTGGCATTTACCTGCTATTCATGTGTTTGATTTTGAAACAAAGTGAAAAAAATGCACAAGAAGGCTTCATATGATGGTGGTGGTTATAAGTATAACCTGTTCCTTTGTAGTGCTCCTGCCCACTGAGGTTATTCTCTCCTACCTGATTCCCTCCTCTCAGGCAGGTATGGACACCCAGATGCCTAGATCAGCAGGATGCTTTACATTTTGATGTGTATATCCTTCAGCACCCGACAAGCAACACAGAAATGAGAGGTCATTCTTCTCAAGCATGGAAACTTCAACAAACACATTCTTTTACTTAGCAATGGCATGAATATCCAGCTTTATTTTCCAAGCTGACAAGGCATAAAGGAATGAATTAAACTACATTTATTCTGGATCATTTTTACTGACAACAGTGAAAGCTACATCTGTCTGTGACTTGCTCATTTCTGCCAAAATTTTCCTGAAAAGCAGAATAGCTTTGAAAGACAGAAACTTCACAGACAGCCAGCAATTGCTAGATTCCTCTAAATCAGGGTCAAACATTGCACTCATCAACTCCGAGTAAAGTGGTTTGATAAACCTGTTCAGGCACCTAGAGCAGTGCAAGTTTCCCATAAATGCCAAGACAAAGCCTTTTACTTTGATCTGGATATGTTTTTGAGTTAAAGGAAACTAGACAGGAACCAAAACTGCAGTCCCCTTATGTGAGTGTGAGCTGACATCTGCAGTTTGTGGCAAGGGCAGCCTTTGTTTTGGTTAGACTGTCCCAAAGAGAGGAAAACACCAATGAAAATGGGGAAGTGTTCCTCCATTTATTCACCTGTGTGTTCTGATTTCAGGCATGTTTGGGCTCAAGTGTTTTGTGATAACCAGAATTTGCTACATATTTGACATACCATCATCAGTCCATGCTAATTGTGTTAAGAATGCAGTAGATATTAAAACCACAAAGTGAATACCACATTGGATAGTATGATCAAACACATAGTAAGGTAGAGAGTATTCATAAAGGATCAGAAGACAAAATGTGATCCATGGGCCAGTGGGCAGAATGTGTTGAATGAATGGGTAAGTGGGACTAAGTCATTAATGTAATTTCATCAGTTCACAAATACCACTGCCAAATCAAAGCAGCTATCTATTTTCTGCCCAAGAGCTACACATTATTTTCCTCCATTACTCAATCTTCTTTAGTTTGATCCTATATAAGCTTAAAACTGTGAGGAAAGAAATCCAGCCTGTATGGAAAATTGCTGTGGGATTGCAAAAGATTTAAAGCTTGCCAAAGAAAATGAACTCTAAAAACTGTTTTCCTTGTTTATGTGTTCTCCTCAGGCCCTCTTGTTTATTAAGGCTCAATATATGATCAAGTTACCTTGCGTCAGCCAGGCTGTGGTAATTGTCTGTGTGTGCACTTTTGGCCCGCAGCAAATGCAAGAAAATGTAACCTGGTTTAAGCCCCTTTCACTGTAGGCCTAGACCAACTTACCTTACATTCCCTGTGGGTGGGAGCATGCACCTACCTCAGACACAGTCACTCACTGCATCCCAGGGGGCTTGTGCTGTGTCTGAGACCCAGGATTAGGAGAGGCACCCTAAAGGGCATTTGGGACAGCTTGTCTTTCCTTCTGCAGGTATATTGCACAGGCACACGAACGAAGGGCTTACCTGCCATGCCTCCACCTTCTTTATGTCTGCACAGGACCCGTTGGTGAAGAGGCCCTTCCCAGGGGTACAGGTATAAATATCCTGCAAGGCATGGGCGATGGAATACACTGCCAAGTACACGTTATAGGATATCCGCAAGTGTGTGTAGTCCATGTATGGGGTCTCCACGCTGGTGATGTTCTCATCCCCTGTGCACGGAGGTCGGAAGGCAGACGTTCCATTTCCAGCTCCCAGCCCCTCTTCGTGCCCCTTGTGGAAGGAAGTGGAAGCAGGAGAATTTTTGGATCCATCAGGGAGATAGCAGTTAAATGTCTCCTCCCAAAACTCCTTGGCAAAGCCATTGTTGGTGGACTTGGGATGCACCTTCTGCAGGAACTCACGAAATCCTGGGATCTGTCCTGCCTTCAGCGCAAACCCGATGGTGCTGCCGATGACACGGAAGAACTCCGGCATGGCTATGAGGGAAGAGCTGGCCCAGGCCTCGCTTGCCAGCCAGATCTTGCCAGTGATGTTTCTCCTGACAATCTCTTTTATGAGAGGCTCCAGATCTGGGCCACTGGAAAAAACAACAATCACTCTTGCTGTGGAGTTCTGGATGACCTCTACCACCTGCTGGATCTCCTCTTCATCTGAGTACTGGGAGATGAGCTCGCTAAAATCAATGCAGATATCTCTCTCCTCCGCCTCTTCCCGAAATTTTTCAATCCCTGGCCGGCCATAGTCATCGTCAGCTGCGATTGTTCCCACCCAGTTCCAGCGAAAGTACTCGATGATGTCTGCCATGGCCGTGGCCTGATGCTCATCGTTGGGGATTGTGCGCAGGAAGGACTTGAACTGGTTCTTGTTGCTCAGGAGACGACTGGATGAGGCATAGCTGACCTGTCAGAGCACAGCAAACAAGCAAAACACACCATAAAGTGAAATGCCTGAAATAAACTGCCTCCATTTACCTAGCATCCCTGCCAGCCTGGGAAGCATGTTTTCTTAGCCTGTGTTTGCAGGTGATCCACTCTGAGGTTTCTCCCAGCTGTGCCTGTCCTACAGAGGCTCTCATACAGGAGCAGCTGCTCAGACCTGAGAGGCTGGAGCCAGCTTGTGCCCACCTGCAAGGTCAAGGATCTGAGGGAGAGAGAAATGGACACTAGACTGGAGGAATAGCAAAGATTTCTGTCAAATCCAGAAATAAGAAGAATGTGCCACCTAGATAAATGAGGGCAATGCACTGAATTAAGACAAAACACAGGCTTTCCCTGTCCTGAACCAGGCATGAGACAGCAGGATGGTATTGCCATTTCAAAGCTACTCTGTCTTTCTCTCCTTGCCTTTGACATCCATCCCCATTCTTAAACAGGCTCCTTTTGCCTTTTATATACAATCCCTGTCAGCTGACATAAGAAGAATGTGATGTATTTCAGCTTCCTTGATCCTGCAGCGTGTTATGGTAATGCTACTTTAGCAGTGTTTCCTGACTGCTGGCCAGAATCAGCAAAGAAGCCAGTCCATGTTTCATAAGCCACCATGTTTTATGGTTAAAACTGGATTTTATTTCCTCTTCTAAAGCTATCAAGAAATACTTTATTTTCCTAATCAGAACAAGTACCACATGCTCTTAAGATATAATTTGAATTATCTGCAAGTAGGAAGAAAACCTTAAAACCCAGATAATAACTGTTTAAAGATCTGGAGAACTTCTAAAACACATTTTGAGATTGGTATCTGAATTCTTTGGGACTGACTCTCATTTGAAAAAGTCTTCTATAAACAGTTCATTTTGTACAAAGTGGAAATTTACAGAAAACCTTATCTTCTCCTTAAACTCTGTTATTTAATGTTTCTGCAAGAAGAAAGAAAAGGAGTGCAGTTTCAAGGGCCACAGGAGTAAACCCTCCTTTCACAGAACTGTACTATCCCCTGGACAGGCTCTTGCCCAGTGCTACTCTCACCCCCATCAACCTCTTTCCAGGAGTACAGGCAATGTGTCCCACTGCCACGTGTGCTGAAACGGGACACTGACCTGAGGTACTGAGAAACAGAACAGAAGTTGTAACATTTTCAGTGTTTACGTCAACAGAACGAGCAATGAGCCGTGCATTAATTGCAAAATACACCTCCAATTCCTACTGAAATGCAGGGCCTAATAAGCCTGGATTTGCTAATGTCCTTGCTATAAATGGCTGTGACAATTCTACCCAACATCTGCCAGTCTAAAAGCCTGCTTTCAGTTGTCATGCTTCAACCACCTGGCTGAGACTTCGTTCCAGAAGTGAACCTCCTGACATCTACCCTTTTCTGCAGCCTCTAGATAAGGTACTGCCTCATGGGACAAATGTCATTCTCTGTTTAAAGAGAAAGTCTGAGAACTGCAAACATCTCTTATGTTCAGTTGAACTCACCAACCCTTCTCGGCTGCCCCTGTTCACCTGGTAATGGGATGTGTAAATCAACAATGCCCCATAAGATGTCATCAGGGTGTTTATTTACACACCAACTTCCAATGCCACTCTGGGCAATACCGAGATAACATAGCTTAAACCACTCCTGCCCTGCTCAGAGAACAAATGTCCAGTTTTCAGACTCCTGCAAAGGAGGCCAACTGATAAGACTCAACAGACAAGATATATTACTGTGCACAGGGCAATCAAGAATCCTTCCTTTTCATTCATGGTGCAGATGGGAATTGCAGCCCTGGCTGAAGCAAAGATACATTTCTCAGGACAGACTGAGAGCACATTCTGACACAGTCTTGTTATAAGGGCTCTTGTGAGCTCTGGCGCCTCTATTAATTTTGGAAGAGGGATTGGAAGTGTTAGGCTGTGCAAGGTAACACTTAAATGGGTAAGGCCAAGCATATTTTCCAAAGCTGACTTCAGTGTAGAAAAGTAAAATCAAGAGCAACAATATTAAGACAGCCTTGTACTTTACTTAAGGTCATGGCAGATCAACCAGCCTCTTAAACAAAAGGATGGGGCCGTGGATGCTGGCACTGGCTCTAGCAGAGTCAGAATGTTTACAGTTACTGCTGCATTCACAGACTAAACCACTCTAGAGGACTCTCCAGTCCTCCTAGGCTAGGCTGCTGTTGGCCAAATGTTGTTATGGCTGCTCAGTAACCTTTACATTTGGAGACTGCAAAGTGCTAGCAAGACATATATCTATCATAACAATGACACCCACCCCCCTCCCGCCCCCCATTTTATTATTTCTCTCCTTATAAATTCTATTGGAAATGGCAAAGATTAAGCAATCTCTGCTTAATCTCTGCAGAGTAGAGGAGCAGGCCACTTCTGCAACCTAAACAAGTGAGGTGGAAACGTACCTGAGGTATGTAAAAGAGTCCCAGCAGATTGGCCACAGCAGTGGAGATGCCAGAGCCAGTTGCTCCCACGACTGCAATGGTGGAAGGGATATGTTCTGAGCAGTTACAGAATTCATCCAGGTTCAAGGAGTCTATCTTGTTCTGGGCCACAAAACTCAGTGTGGCCTCCAGGGCTTTCGAGACTGTATTGCAAGTGTCAAATATCCTATATCCCAGGGTCATGTTGGGAAGGAGAGTTGGGCTACTGTTTATTTCTTCTATGGCAAAGATCATAGCCTGGAGCCAGCGGAAGCCTCGGAAATTATACCTGGGGGAGCAAAAATAAAAACGAAATAGAGTGAGAAGGAGGAAAAAAGAGCAGAGGAGACCAGGAATGAGGCAAAGACAGAGTGAAAAATTCCAGATACAAAAGGCAAAAGCAACTTATGTGATTTCTTGCACTCTACTAAATTTGGAAAGTTTTGCTTTTGTCTCTACCACAGAAGAGGCGTTTTTGCTACAAGGTTTAGTTCTGGCTCTCAACTTTTCCGTTTGGGAGCTCATTCCAGAGTTAAACTTTTCTAAGTCCCCTAAAACCTGGGAAATTAAAAGACAGCCTGTCTGGAGTGATGACTGGCCTGTCCCTTGTGCTCAGGACCCTAAACCTGATCTCATGATCCCTGAGGAAATGGATGTTGTGATCCTCTGACTGAAAGCTGCACCTACCAGGCTTGCTTCCAGGCTCCTCTGACATGTTTCTGAATGCAGATGGCAGTGTCTGCTAAGCCTGTGCTGATGCTGCCTGGGACTTAGGCTTGGGATACTCCTGGAGTGTGTGAGCTCCTCCTGGCTTTGGGCAGGCAGAGCAGGCTGAGCCACAGCACTGGCATGCTGCTGGATGCAGAGGTGCCAGGGAGCTCTGCTCAGGGAAATTCGGCCTCACATGGCACCCTTCAGTTTGTGAGAGAGAGCACAGTCAGACTGTTCATGCCAGAGATCAGAGACACGCTCTAAATATAGGTCCTAGTGCAAACTGATAACTTGCTAATTAGATACTTCAGTGCCTTCATTCAAGGAATAACTTTTCTCATTATTTTGGTTCTCTCACACAATTTGCTTTAGACACGAACTCAGATGATGCCCTCAGAGCTGGTCTGTGAAACTGAAATTGTTTTTTGAAGCCTCCTCTCTTCTCTAAGCTGGAGGAGCTGAGTTTTCTGATTATCTTGCATGTAGCTAAGGCAGAGCTGCAGATTGGTGGCAACTGTCCTGCAGGAGCTGGGAGTCCTTGTTTATGGACATTAGTAGCCTGGCAGTGGAATAAGCTGCAGCACGAGGAATTGCTTTTCCACAAAGTAGAGAAACTTCGTGGAAAGCAGCAGCAAGAAAGTACCTTTGATACACACTATCCTGAAGTTTTACTGTGTTTCCCCTGTAAAGTTGCCCTGGCAACCATTTGTGTGCCTGTGAGGCTGCCGAGTTTTAGGGCAATGCAGCTGGAATGGCAGAATCTTTCATCAGCAGAAACCTGCCCTTCCTTGGAATGCACTGTGAGTCAGGATAGCAGCTAGTTTGCAGTTTGTGCTGAGTTGCAGGTGAAAGCAGGAAAGTGTCAGTGCTGTTATGCTTGAGATACACCAGGAAAAGTGATGGGCCCCAAAACTGGAAAAGCCTGGGGAACAGCCTGGCCGAGAGCAGATCCTATATGAAATGGTAAATTGTAGGTTTCACATGAGTTACATTTTGAAGTGCTTAGAGAAATGTTTCTACTACTAAGGTGAAGATTTCTAAAAATAAGCTCAATGAAATCACAACCTTTCAATCTCTGAGATATATGACCTAAACATTTTTAATGGCTGGATTAAATTAATTGCTTCCAAAGTTGATGTTAGCTATGTCTTTTTCAAAGCTGAATGAACAAAGCCACATTACTTCCATTCCAGGAGTTTTATCTGATTCATCTGGGGTCAGAATTTCTAATGATATCCCATCTAAGGTTTATCTTTAAGTCTTCAAAACTTCATTTATTCAACTTGTTTTCACCTCTCCAGATATCTTTGGCCAAATTCCAAATGAGGTTCAGTTCTGAGGTTATGCCTCAAAGCCCAGACAGCACAATTTCAGTACAGATCTCTCCAGGTCAAAAAGTTTGAGTCCTAGTTATAACTTATTACCAAAGGGACAGTTAGCTTTGAGATTAGTCTGTAGATTAGTCTTAAGATTAGTCTTTAGAAGCACAGGAGTGTGGGTTACTGATAGAAGTAGTTTGGTCATTTGGAATATTTTTTGCTCTAGTTCCAAACCATTAAGGAATAAGGTGCAACAAGAGCGCTCTGAAATAAAAGGGCAAGGGTCAGAGGGATTGAGTCAGTGAGTGCTGTGTACAGGAAAAGATGTGTTGTGCACACCATGTTGCTTCACGTGGTCAGTAATGCACCATGGGATAAATGGAAACAAGGAAGGGGTTTGTGACACCTCTTTTTCAAAAGCTGCACATGTTTACAGATATTTTTAATATGAATAGGATTTGAAGCAAGGAGCCATATTCAGGCTCCTCATGTAAAAGAGAAAAATTGGATTGCATCTTCTATATTTAAAGGGAAGGCTACTGAGAACCTGGGAAGTTCAAACATACTGCTGGGAAAAGCTTCACATATTTGAGTGAAGCAAAATTAAAAAGCAAATTTAAAGCCTGCTCACTTTAAATTATACAGGCTAAGTATGACAGAAAATTATTTTGCCTGCTTGAAGGAATTTGGCTTTATTTTTTAAAATGCCACAAGGTGGTATCTTTAGATGGTATCTTCGAAAGCAGTGAACTGGATCATCTTACCCTTCCCTTCAAAGAAATATTTGGCATTTAATTCAGTAAATGCAGACTAAGGTCCACAATACACAGTTGATTTATTTTCCTTTCTGACATATGCTCCTGATTAGTGTATAGTTACAGTATAAGGCCTCTAGCTCAGGTACTTGCATTTGGAATTATTTTATTTTTGGAGGGAAAGGAGAGTGGGGCTGTTTTCTGAGAGCTAGAATCCAAAATATCTTTGAAATACTTTCAATAATTTATCTTAAACTAACCTAGGCAAGAGACCTGCTGTTCTCTTCACTTGCACCTCTGCTGACAGCGGCATCAGCAGCTCAGGAGGAGAGGATCAGATGGGATGAAGACAGCACTCCTCATTCTGTCTTCTCTAACACCTGATACATCTTCAGACAAGCTGTCATTCTGTCACCTGAGACAGCGTTGCATCAGTTCCATAACACAGATATGGTCAGACAAAGGCAGTGCTGCCAAACTGCTCTAAATAAAGCAAGATCCTTCCAATTTCTGTGAATGGATATTTTGTAGACAATTTCTCTCCCACTATACTGTCAGATCCCAGCAAGGGGCTGTAGATAGGTTCCTCTTGGCTTGGTGTGTACATGAGGGATTGCTAAGAGCAGCTTTGAACCTGGCAGTAGGTCCCACTGCTGCAGCTGACCTCCTGTGCCATGCTGCTGCTGTGATTAATATCATCAGTCACTGGAATGCTCTGCCAACCATGCAGCAATTTGACTGGTAATTTCCATGAAGGAACTGTTCAGTATTTACTATCAGAAGCAAGGTTTCATTAGATTTCCAGAATATTTAAATAGCCACTGGTATTTTCTTGATGGAAAAGAAGCAGCCTCCAAGGCTTATTTTCTGCCATATTACTTTTACAGGTATGTTCACATAGTCTTGCATTTTGTGAGATGTGGTGCTATGAAAAGTGGCCATTAAGCTCTAAATGAGAGTTTAATGTAAATAATTCAGAGCCCACAGGTGTAAAGGGGGATTTTTATTTACACTCCTTCCTTAAAGGTTTCCCTTCTGATACTTATTCTTCCACCTCTCAGAGTATTCAACCCACTGATCTTTCTATTCCCAAGGAGGAGCACAAACTGGGAGAGAGAAATTGGGAACAACACCTCGCTGTGACTGTCACCTCTGCAGAGAACAGCAGTGCAGCAGACCAGTTTGTTAGAAATGAAACATGTCTGTCAAACGCTGCTCAGGATGGCTGAAATGTCCCAGCCAACGCTTCAAAGCAAGGCTATTCAAATGAAGGGGCACAAGCTGTCTGCATAGTTTAAGCTCCCCATAGCTCCATCCCCTGTTTGTTTGTGGGGTTTGGTTTTAATAGCTCTTACTGTCTGGATCCAGCAGGGAAATTGGTCCTGATCCTTGCTAGTCTCCATAAAGAAATAATTCACAGCCTCATGTGTATTCATGACCTTCATTTATCACACTTGCAAGGTACTAAGCAATGGAATATGATACAAAAAAAAGGAGAAAGTGATGTGAAAGCTCTGAATAAAGCTTTCACTTACCCCCCCATATCTGACAGGTACTTATACTCAGAAATGCTGGCAAAGCCTGCATATACCTTTTAATCACGCCAGCACTCCTCTTTCTCTAGTGGTTGTATGCACATACTAATTTGTCTGTCCTCTCTAGATTTCCAGTACATTAATTGCATGTTATTGCTGCTACTGTTATTTCTGAGCTATGCAAGGGGGAGACCTTCAGTAATTTGTTGGATTCCTGCAGCCATAGGTATAATGAGTTGCTTACCACTCTTATGATCAAGGACTGTGGGTAAGGGGAATTATGCAGAACAAAGAAAATCAGAAATTAAAAAATTACAATTCAGATGGTGAATGGAAGAGAGACCAAGTGATATAATTACATCTCAGGGAAGAGAAATTCCAAATGTCTTGTTGTACATTCAGGTCTGCAATGGGATTAGCAAATGCATCTGCAAGGGCTAGAATTAAAATTCTGTTCTCTCAGATGGACAGAGAAGCTCAGTGGGCTACAGAGTCCTGGAGCTATGCTCTGTGAAGTCCTGCACTATGACGTGGGGACAATGTCTCACCACAGTTTCACAGCTTGAAAGCTTTGTGTCACAGTGTGGGACCTTAGCTAGTCTGATGATCAGAATACAAGAAAACTGCTAATCTCCCTGAAATCAAGAAGGGGCAGAAAAATCAGGTTATGAATAGGCCTATGGGGGTACTGACAGCGAATGGAATGGGGGTCAGGGCTTGCTGGTGCTGTGCTCAGTCTCTGCCTCCCCTGCACACATCAGATATGCATCAGCAAATGTTATGAGGGAAGTTGCTGCAGCAGCCCCTGAGGCATACAAAGACAGGAGGTGTATTCATATCAAATGCAGGATCCTTGATTGCTGAAACAACAAACAGGAAACAAAACTCCGCTCGCTTGGTGTATTCCTATCTGACATTTAATGTGACACAATCATGGGTACATTTTCATTTTGGACTCTACAGTTCAGTGTTTAGAGCACAGGGATGCATTTTCAGTAGCAACAGCACAAAAAGAATGGGGAACCAATTGTTACAGTTCCCTTTTCCTTTCACTGCTGAGTTATCTACATAGTTTCTAAATAATCATGTGCCCGGTATGCACGGTAGGTTCAGGCCAGTATGTTTGCTGAGCCACAAGAGCATGAAGAACATAAAAGCTGAGGAAGTAGAGAGAAAACTGTCCTATCCTTTTTGAGAAGCCCCAGATGTCCTATCCATTGGTAAGCCCAGTTTGGGAGCATAGGTATGGCACTGAACACAGCTAAATGTCCAAACAGCACTGATCAGCTTGAACAGTGCTCAAATAGAGGCAAACCACATTATCTGAAGTTATTTGATTCTGAACTCTAAAATGGACCACCCACAGGGTTTCAGTGGGACCCTTAGGTCTTGTTGTGGAGCTTTTCATATGGTCTGATGACTTGCTGCAGCAAGAGAGCCTGAGGAGAGAGAGGATGCTCATTATCCCAGAGTGACCTGGATCTAATTTTCTTATGTGATATGAGACACATTTTTCTATGTAATCAAAGAGATCAAAATCTGTATGCAGCCATCTGAAAAGGGCGTGGGTATAAAACTTATTAGCCTCAGCTTTGAAAAGATACACCAGTGCTGGAGAAGGCTCAGAGAAGGGCAACAAGGGCAGGTAAAGGTAAGGGACAGATTTAGCACCTTTGGTTTGACCATGTACAGTCACATTTGTGTTTCTCTACGGATTTCTATCTGATTTGCTAATCTGTGGATTTTCCACCCTACAGAAGTTTTTGACACTACAAGATCAGGGAGACTTACTTTGTGAAGAAACTAGAACCTGTATTTTTTTTTCTGCCCCCAAAAATACAAGTTTGATAATTCCAGACCAATCAATTCCCTGGAACCTAGGAAACTCACATGTGATAATGTAAGACTTTAGCAAAAAACTTGAAGAATGTATTGAACTCCTAGACTCAGCAAGCACAACCCTGCCACAGGCTGATGTCTGATCACAGGATCCAAAACAAAAAATGGCTACCATGGTTGTGTTGAGAGATTTCTGTACAAGTCAAGCAGGAGGGATTTTCTGACTTGAGTACTGCTTAAAATAAAAAATCCTTTCAGAAAAAATGTCTCCTCTCAATTTTATGTGTACCAATAACAAGGAATACACACAAACATTCCCATGTATTTATTACCTCCGTCTTTAAAACCTGATGACCAATCTCAAAAAGTCTTCTCAATACAACCTCTTTTGAATTAAACATTTCCAGCAAATGGATATTTTCTGGTAAAGATGTGTGCAATGAAGCAACTTCCAGTTATTTGTGGTCCAATCATCCCCTTGTTCCTTTTGTGGTTTCTACTACCTCTGCAGCTAATCTCTGACCTTCATTCTTTCTCCAACTGCATTATACTATCAACTCACAATTTATCCAACTCCCTGAAGGATATGTGCCTGCCTCTGCAGACATCTTTTTTTCTTTTGCACCTATACCTTCTATCTTCATCACCTGCTTACAAGGGTAAAAAGAACAGGGATTTTATCCAGGCAAATTTCAGCTAATACCTTTTAGCAGATTGAAAGCCACCCAGAAGGATCTCCCGTTGTGTCCTTAAAACAGCTAGTCTGGCTTTTCAGGATTTGTCTGTTGTTGGCAGTGCTACCTCATTAACATGCCTTTTGGCAACCACACACTTGTAGTACTTGTGGCAGAACATTTTCCAGCCATCTCTTCCAATAATGTGACCATGTCAAGACAGCCACTGATGCTGACCCAGAGTTGATAGAAGTAAAAGCTGTTTAGTTTGCAAATATGTGCATTGTCCTGCCTGCCAGCTGGAGCAGGTGAAGAAAATAGAGCTGAAAGCATCCATTGCTTTCCAGCACTCCACTTTTAAAATAATGCATTTGAGAGAGAAAAAAAATGCTGAAAGGCTGGCAGAGATTCTTGCTCCATGAAACAGACATTGCACATACATTTAGTTCATGACTGTCCTGTGCACACACTGAAGAAGCCAAAATAATCCCTGATTATTGACACCTGTGTGTGCTCCTTGTGACAGGAGATGGTTCTGGGGATGATCTCATAACCTAGATGGACGTGTCTTGCTCAGGGTCTCAGTGGGAAACCACACCTGAAATCTGTGAGTGAAACAGGAATGCTCTCAGCCATCCTTCATTGCCATCTGCAACAAAACTGTGCTAGATCCCCAGCCTAGGATGAGAGGTCCAAATAATTCCAGATACACAGTTCTCCACACATGGTAACAGAAAGTTCCATAACAATGAAATGTTTTCTCATGCATTGTCATGACAGAAATCCACATGAATATCTAATATTTTGTTTATATGATGTTCCAGTTGCAATCAGTTTCTGTCACGCTTTCCACTTGTTCTGTGTATTATGTGCAGGCTTGTAATGTTAAAAATTCCTCACATTTCATCATGCGTACACTTCCATAATACGAGAAAATGTTTTCATGTGCATTTCTCAATCCAAGGTTAACTCCCAAACACTTAAGACAAAACACAGATGTGTTGTTTACACAAAAGAGAAGAACTCTGGGTGAGGGAAGCCTGCTCTGAAGTTTAGGACTTTTACAAAGTCCTGAAGAGAGATTTATGTGTCATTCACTGGGATTTTTCAAAAGCCCTGACCTACCTCACTTTAACATTTTCACTTGTTTAGGCAACTTAACAGTTTTTAAAGTCTTAGAAAATGACAGGCAGAACCGGACAAAAAATTGATTTCTAAACTATTTGGCCATGAATTACTTTAATCAAATGAACTAAAGGGCACTATTGGTAATTTTCTATCCTGCTAGGGAAGCTAATTTTCAGATGCTATTCAAAGTTTCCCTGTGAATGGCCCAATAGATCAGTATATTAATGTTTTGGTAGCTTCAGGTAGTACAAAGATTGCCCTCTTTCAGTGTCCAAACAGTATTTATGTTACTGTTTAACATACACACTTGTTTTTTCTATTATTTACATCACACCTTCCAACTGCAAGCATCAGACTACAGACCATATTTACGCAACACAAAGTCAAGAAATGTGAAGACTTCCCCACCAAAACTTTTTAATTTTCCCTTTTACCAGCTTACCTTATACACTCCACTGATTCTGGCCTTGATTTTAGATCCTGGTCTTTAGCAGCCACTCCAAAATGAATGGGGAACAATCCTCCAAGAATAATGTCTCCCTTCTTCTGTGCCCGTTGGTTTGGCCCATAGGCAGCAGTGCTCCAGGTAAACAGCAAAAGAATCAAGCAGCAGCTATATGAAGTCATTGTTCCTCTTTTCACTAGGGGGTTATTGGGTGCAAAATTGGAAAAGATGATGTAAAAAAGGAGATGTCAAAGCTTTTCCTTTCCTTAATACAGCACAGAGAGGATTTGGGGCACATGTTGGCAGGGAGATAAGCAACAAGGTGGGAGCCACAGTGCTGATATTTCTCCCTCTGTCTTCTCCATTGCAAAAAAGCAATTCAGCTTCCCTTCTTCCTTCATAACTGAAGCATTATGGAGAGCCCATCTCTGAAAACTGTTAAAGAAAGATTAGAAAAGTGATTCCAGCTATACACCAGGACCCCACATTGCCATGATGGTTCTGCTTCGTCAAGCCAAGCTCTCAATACGCCCCTGAAGCTGCCCCCCACTCAACAACCCACCTGGGACACATCACAACCTTGGCAAAGTCATCCAGGCACCCTGGTGACACAGCCACACCTCCTCAAACAATGTCAGATGCCTGATTCTCTGCCTCATACCTAAGGTGGGTGGCTTAATCTTCCTATGGTTCTGTGTGGCTCTGGTCATAGCAGGTGCTGTAAAACCCGTGATCTGATTGGTGTCTATGAAGACAGCTCACTGTGAGACCTGGGTGGGCAAGTGGGGAATAAGGAAGCATCAAACACAGTAAGAATCAAGCCTTTCTCTTAAGCAAATAACCACAAAAATCTTTTGGTGTTGGTCCATCATCTCCTGTCCATTGAATCATTTTAACCCTCTGTCTTTGAACTTATCCTTGATAAAAATAAAACAAGCTCTTTCAGGCTCAGAAAGAGTTCTTTAGCATTGAAAGGGAGAATGAACTCCAGGGAAGCATTTGAAACCAAGATACTTCTCCATAATGAGTCATGAAGGCTTGAAAGGTTTGGCTTTGAAAGCATAGCTATAGCAGCCTTTGAAGCCTGTTTCCTGGGGATGAAAAATTCTGCAGCTTCTCCATGCTCAATACATTTTCCCTGCAGCATGTCTATAGGCTTCCCAAACAAAGAACTAACTTAATTATGGCATATGAAAATGGCTGTGGCTACAGGAGAGGAGATAGCACAGAAAATTCACAAAGAACAGCTCTTCAGCCTATTTGAAGCAGGTCTAAAAGCTGGTAGTAAAAATCTGAAGTTAGCGAAAATTAGAGTAGAAGCTAGGCATACATTGCTAATCCTGAGGACAATTAATTTCTGAAGCAAGTCATCAAGAGTTTTTAAGTGATGAGAACCTTTTTATGAGGCTGACTTATTATCACTAAATGCAGCTATATGGATTTGATCTTCACCTAGGTCAAATAAAGAACTATGCAGGGAAAAATTGTGATCGTGAGACTTCTTCTGGTAGCCAGTATGGATGATCCTGCATGCTGTATGACCACCAGGCATGTGGAACTATTTCAAACATTTTCATTACCTTGAAGGTTTGGATGCAACAGTCAATGAGAGAGGAGAGATAAAGCTCCTGCTGTTCTTGTGCCTCTGTGGTCACTGCACTTAGCTGGGCAGACACTGCAATTCTCTGTGGCAGGTCCACTCTAAACTGTTCTTTGGCCCTGGCTTGAACAAGTGCATTTTTATTGGCAAGGGCAATCAAATCTTTGGCTAGATATCAAGATATGTCTAGGTATTGGCAAGTGGCCCTTTGACAGCTGGATGATAGAATTTTAACCAGAACCAGGATTAGGAGGGGACAGAGCAATGCAACGAGTAAGTGTCATGAAGGTGTTTGGGTTTTGATCTTTTCTGGCAGATGGATGGTGGTTTTGGCTTCTTCAGTGGCCCAACAGAATAAAGAACAAAACACTTTTCCATATTTCAGTTAGAGAAATGTCATTTTCCTCCCATCACCTGTGGTTTCAGGAAAGGTACAAACACTGGTGAAGTGCTGATACAGTGTCCTGAGGTGAGGACCAGCACAGGCAGGGCCAGCACTTAGAAGTGAGAGGTTTGAAGCAGGGCAAGCAATTTCTGAAGGGACACTGCAAAGACATGGGATGGTCTGACTAATGCTCCTTAGCTCAGCTCATTCCCTCCCCCAGCTGCCTGTGGGATGGCAGGGACTAGGGACTGCATGATCCGATAGCTGCAGGGATGGCGTTCCCGGAGTCTGGGCAAGGAACCACGCGTGGGACTCAACCAAGGTGGGATGAGGTCAGTGACTTCCCCATCTGCTATGGAAGACCACAGCCTGCTGATTTACTACTCAGTTTTTCTGCTTTTACTTTAATAAAGCTTTCTTTTGCCTTTGGGGTTATTGGCTTATGAGAAAGGAAATTGTTTCCATCAGCAGCAGACAGACAATATAATTTTGTTTGCTGGGCTGCTGTGTAGGGTTTGGGCTGATGCTACTGAATATTTAGGAACTCTTCACCACAAGACAGTACATGGCTGAAGTATGAAATGTAGAAAAAGTAAATTCACATTCTTATTTCTCTTTTCTCACAGTAGACAAAGTCAAAGCATCCAAACTGGCAAAATACAGCAAATTTTAAAACAGCACTTACAGCAGTTAGTAGTCCCAGTTGTCATTCAAGAGCATGACAATGGAATAGACAATGAAAACAAAATCATTCATTCATGGTATAGGGCATCAGTTGGTATCTCTCTGAGTAATTTGGAGCTAGCAGTTCTCAGAGACAGGACACAGAACTGAAGTAACATGAGAGTCTGGGAACGAGATGGGCTGTGTAGACATAAAGCACCCCCCTAAGGCAGAAAACTGAAGGATAAATGTCCAAAGATGCACCGGCAGAGAAAAAGAAAACAAAGTGTATGCTCAGCTCCTCATAAATCTCAGCGTCCAAATTTACAACTCTCCATACCAAAATTTCAGCTATAGCTGGAAAACCAAACTCATTTAATGGGAGACAGAGGACTCACAGATGCTTTTAAGTGCCCTGCACACCTGAAGATGAGAATATTTGAAGGTACCGATTTCCTGATGAACGGTTGTGATCTTGTTGCCAGTGCCCCAGATAATATCCTCTAGTATCAACTTCTGTTGTGGCAAATTTTCCTACAGTTCTCTTTTCTTTTATTAGATTAAGATTATGAGCCTCTTCCTTATTAAAGAAGGCATTACACAGCTAATCATTGAATTACCTGCTGATGTATGCTTCCAGACAAAAAACTCAGCATACTACAAGTGGAAATTGTACTACTAATAGAACAAATTACTGTGGTCCTGCAGTTTCAGCTAATAAAGAAAAAAAAAGATTAAATTAACAAGCAACTGAATTAAGATGGAATCCATTGATATTTTTTCCTTTGCAAATGTTTTTACCTGTAGAGCATTATATGAGCTCTTCAATGCAGAACACCTTTTCCCTGTACATATATTCAGACGATAAAATCCCATAAGATTACTTTTGCAAGAAAATACAAAAACTAAATGGTAATTTTTTTTCTTTTTTTTTGACATGGCCTGATTTTTAATCCCCCTCCCCTTTAAAAAATAATCCAATAATCCTCAGTAGTTTTTTCACCCTGTGTCATTAACTATCAGACATTTTGACTCTGAGCTGTCTTGGAAGAGAGTTTCTAAGCTTCCATGGAGGAATTTGAACTGATTCCAGGGACAGGATGAGCTACCAGGCAACTATTGCCATGGCAGGAGCATTAGCTGAGGTGGGGAGGGAGGGTAGCCAGGTACAGCTGTGGGTACTTGGAAAGCTTGCAGCAATCAGTACCATTTTTCCAGCTGAATGAAAGTTTTAGTTGTCAGACTAAATCAGGCAGAAAAGCCAGAAATGTTCAATAAATCTATGTTTTTTTGGGTGAAAGGAAGCTGAATGGCACACTCATGGCATGCATTACTGATGAAGAAATTATTAATCAAACAGTAACTAACCACAACTCTCAACAGCAGCTGCTCAGGTACATCGAAGAGCTGGCATGGCAAGGATCTCAAGGGATCTCCATGAAGCTGCCCCTCAGCCCAAGAAGGGCTCAGCAATAGTAGTGCACTCCTGGCATATTTTCTCTAAAACCTTGTCAGAAAGAAAACCAATCAGACACTCAGGGCAGCTTATTTCAATGCTTCTCTACTCTTACCAAAGAAAATGTTTTCTCACATCTATTTTCAGTGTTTTTTGTTACAACTTATGCCTGCCGTCTTCTCCCATCTACCACATGAAGGCCAGGCCTCCCTGCCCATAATCACCTTATTTGGGATTTGATTCACCTCCCCTTTTACTCTTTTTCTTAGACCAAGCAAAATAAATTAACTTTTTTTTTTTCATAAAGATGCTTTCCTGAGCTCAGATTATTCTTATTTCATTCCTCTGGCCTCTCTCCAGCATTCTCCACATTTGGTGCAGACCAGTGCCCAGAAATGGACACAGTGTCCTTGTTTGGCCCTTACAAGCACTGAGCAAAGTAGTAGAATTACTTTGTGTGTCTTGCAGGCTACAGCCCTGTTTGTACATCTCAGCACGGCATTTGTCTTTTTTTGGAACAGCATGACATTGTTAACTAATGGTAACTCATCAGCTAAACACAAAGCAAAGTTCAGCATGCTTATATTCACAAGGCCGTGAAACCTCTCAAAAATTATCATTTTCCAAAAGCTTTTCAGTTCAGTTCAAAGGTAGACCCTGCTAAATTTCACATGATCATCCCGGACACCAACAAGGAACCAGCATGGACAAGCTCAGCTGAATCTCCTGGGCTTTCAGGACCTTTTCACAGCAGAGAGCTGGGGAAGATTCCTGCTTACAGCCATGGAAAAATGGCTGTCCCACACCCTAGAAGAGCCTGGCCTCACACATATCAGGTTTGTTCTCTTCTGGGAGGCCTGGATGCCCCAAAGGAGCTGAAGAATGACATTTTAGTGGACAATGGACGCAGAATATAAGTTGTCATACTTCTAAGACCAGACCTAGTGGTGAGGTACCATGACAATATGAGAAAAAGTAAATTGTTCACATTTGTCACCAGACCAGGCATTAGCTCAACCTTCCTGCACCTCTTTAGTCAAAATGAGGGACAAGGGCATCAAAGATGCAATCAGAGTGT